TTTTTTTTTTTTTTGGAACTGAGATTGGGGGAGTGGGTGCCTGGAACTCAGGACTTTAACGTTCTAAATATCGCCCCTCTTTTATGATTATCAGTAGGTCAATCCATGATAGACAACTACTTTGCAGACTTAAATGCAAAAATAGAGTTAATTTAAGGGCTTACGTTTCGCGTTGGAGAAATTCGAGCTGACCAGCAACATGGAACGCGCATACCCTGCAAAGGAAAGGATTTCAACCGCTAATAACAGCCGGCCTCAAAATTTTAGTACTAACAAAATTTCTTCGCTAACAAAATTTCTTCGTTCATCTTCACACGACCGAAATCTGTCTGTATTTCTTCCTTGTTCTTGCTAATTTTCTGTATATTACTGCTTTCCTATCTGTTTTGGCAATGATATAGGATCAGTTATCCTTCTGATTGTTGGATTTGGATCTTTTTTCCGTGATTCTTTGATTCAGTTTTGTGAATTGAAGTTAATGCATCAAGCATAATTGGATTATTTTATTGAAATAGTGTGGCTTCTGTCAATCTAACATCATTGGTGCAGTCCCGGAGGTCGCAATGACCGCTGTTCTTCTGGCTGTGAAGAAAGAAGGGGCCGCATCGAAAGAGAGAAAAAGAAAGGCCAGTATTGGCAGATTTTTTGCCCGAGCTTTCTTGAGCTCGATGGATTGGTTGTGGCGTCTTACGATGATTTTCTTGGACCGTCCCATCTGCCTCCCGGGATTTTTTAGACGCCTATGGGATTTCTTGTCCCCTGCAGTTCCCAGAAGCACCATGTTCACCTTCTGCGCGGGGTTTCATTTCTTGATGAAATTCTTGATGAGCTTCTTCGGCAAGGTATTTCGAAGTTTACTGACGGTAGCCATTGCTGTCAGAAGGAGCTTATCCACCGCTGTTGGTATTTTTTTGGTGGGTTTCATTCAAGGCATGTTCCCCTGGCTGGGCTTCTTGGGGCATTTCATCTGCTGCCTGGTTTTATGGAGACTTCTAGTGGATTTCTTTACGGGCTTCTTGCTCCCTAGCTTATCCACCCTCAGTAATCTCTTGATGGGTTTCATTAGTGGCATCTTCAGTGGTTTGTCCTTATCCCTTTTCTTGGGTCCAGTTTACAACTTGAGGGCTGCTATCTTGAGTATTGGGCGACAGTTCGGCCGGAGATTTAATCGCCGAAAGGTTACTTATTTTCCCGAACACCTTCTTGAAGAGATATTCGCCCATCTCCCAGCGAAGAGTTTGGTAAGGTATGCTTCTCTTTCAAAAAGTTTTAGAGCTTGCTTTTATGATAGACATTTTTTGAGGCTCAAATTGGCAAGATGTAGAAAGCTCAAGCTCATAGTTACAACAGGGATTAACATGCTTTCTGTGGAATTGGACGGGAGTCACGGGACCCCTCCAATACTTTTACCAAATCCCTTGAGCCTAGATCTAAAGGATTTGGATAGCAAAAACATAATATGTGATCTTTATGGATCAACTGACGGCTTAATTCTATTGGGTGTATATCTGATTATTTTGGAGAGGGAAAGGAGACAAGGTTTTTTTTACATTCTAAAGGGATTGTACAATCCATCAATCAGAAAATTCCAAATAATCTCCATTCCTCCTCTAAAAGAACAGGTTGGATACATAGGTACAATCACAAGCTGTTTTGGGTATGATTCAAGCTCACATGACTATAAAGTAGTTGAACTTTTGATGTTTGAGAATCTAGAAATATGGGTTTACAGCTTCAAGAGTGAGACATGGAAGAGAGTTTGCAATTTACAAGTAAATTTATTCAATGGTCACTTAGGAAGTCGCCTGAGTGCTTATCTTGATGGATCTGTTTACATTCCTGTCAACAACACAATAGTACAGTTCAGATTGTGTGATGAACAGGTCCAAATCATCAGTTTGCCAGATGAAAATGTTACAAGCAGTCTGATTGTGATCGATGAGGCCTTGTGTACCATGAAAACCAATGGCTCAGTGCAAGAATTTTACAAATTCATTAATGGGAATTGGGTTCAATTCTTGGTTTTAAAGGAAGAGAACATGTTAGGATGGACATTACTAGGTAAATCAGCTGACAACAGATACTTGTTCAACGCGGGGGAACACTTCCTGCTGTATAGTGAATCTGATGGGGCTACAGAGATTCCGGGGGTGCGTGTAATTGACGGATTCGATTTCTACATCCCTGTACTGGAGACAACAGTCTGGCCCTGAAGACCAAGATATGAACGAGAACGGGTACAACGTACAATTTTGCCCTGGATTTGTTGTTTTTTTCTTTTTTTTTTCGCTCTGTTTGGGACAGGGCATGAGAGTATCTTAGGGGACTAACACGTGCTTGGTAGAGATAGAGCTATGCTATTTTTTTTCCTTGTTTGGGACAGTGCATAGGACTCATCTTAGGGTACTACCTTGTGCCACTTGCTCTGTTTTCTGGAAGCTAGTTCTGGTGTCATTTGAGAGAGGAGAAAATTGTGATCTACTGTAGTCTTGTGTACGTTTTGATGGCAATAAGTAGAACAGAAAATATTCACTGAAAGACAAAATTTTGATGACAGCATTACTTGTTCCTCTGTTTCTAACTAATTTGATCCGTGCAAAACAAAATTTTAAAATAGGAATGAATAGCATTAACAGAGACTAGACAAACCACCATATCTGATTAATACAAGAACAAGACTATGAGTTTCAATAATTAAATTCAAGCTCCTCTCAGAAGGAATATACAGAGAGCTGTGAACCAAAGGTAACCAGTAAACTGTTCAACAGCTTATAGGCAGTAGTACAAAGCTATGTGCATGTTCCTTTTGTAATGTGCAATATTACAGCATTTTCACAGAAAATGTCTAATTTTCATTGACAGGCAAAAACTTCCTTGAGAAGGAGATAATCACTAGATCATTTAGATCATTGACAAGTTTTTGATGCTTTGTTTGTCCTTTGCTAAGACTCTTCTACCAGTAGCGTCCATACTTACCTTAGAAGCCTAAAACTCTCTCAGCAGCCCCTTTTGTTGTATCCCTTCTACTCTTTCTCGGCTCACACATGCATCGTTTTGTTTTGCTGCTTTGCAAAATACCCATGAAAATGAAAGTGGTTGATGCTGCAGAGTTTCTCTCCGCTAAAGAGAAGAAATTGAGTCACAAGAAAAGAAATTAGGTCTAAATGTGGAGAAAGACATGGAAGTGGATTTTAAATTCAACCAAAACCATGGGCTGGTATTGTTAGTAGAATTCGCCACGCTTCTCTCGGCTGGTTTTGTTGTAATTTATTCATTCAAACAAGTTGAAAAAACTGGTGAATATTCTCTAGGAGGCCCGTGACTGTCAGCAACAGCAGCCATATCTTGTTTTATTGTTTATGTCCATTATTTGAATTTTTTACATGAGAAAAAGAAAAAAATTAAAAATTTTAATATTAAAATATTAAAAAGTTTAACTACAACTATTAAATATATAATGTATAATAATATATAGTGCAAACTTAATTGTATTAATTTTATCATATAATTATTATTGAACAACTTAATTTTTTCTTTTCTCATTTTAAATTAGCCCATCTTACATTAGGCAATTAATGAAATCAAATTGAAGAAATCGAAACTATGAGGATCAAATTGTCAATTAATGAAAGATGTGAAACCAAAACAATTTTACCCATGAAGCACCAAAATTGCATTTTGGTCCAAAATCTCCTACTAGGATTATGGACCTTTTTGGATAATCAATAGTGGGGTTAGGTGGCGGTTAGTGTAATGAAGGTAATAAATTGTAAATAATAGATTTTGATTAATATAAATGTTTAACTATCTAATGGTTAGTGATTATTATTTGACATTAAATGACAAATAATATTATGTTTAAAAACAATAAGGTTTATTTTTCCTTTTTATATTTTTTAGTATTAAAATTATTCATTTCCTAAAATAATTAATAAATAAATAAAATATAAAAATGTAAATTGCATGCTCATATCTATTTTTAATAAAAAAAACTATATTATTTTAAATAAATGAAAAATACAAATTTAATTACTTAGTTTAATTAGCAATTTTTTTTATTAAGTTAACATAATTTTTTTTATAATAAGTTAAATAGAGAATAAAAATATAATAATCATTTAATAATATTAAAGAAAAAAATGAAGTTAAAACCATTTACATAAGTGGCAATTAAAAAAACGTGACAAAAAATAGTAAAATTAAAAAAGATAAAATTTTTAATAAAATTAAAAGATTCTAATCCACAAAAGGTTTGGTACAAAAAAGTTATCTTATCAAAGATACTTTTTTTAATTTGCTAGGGGTTTAAACATTAATCACTATTCATAATTCCCACCCACTAAATAAAAATTTTACTAAACACTTAGTTTATAGGGGTTTTGAAAAAAAAAAATTTACAAAACACCTATCCTATAGCAATTTGAATAAAACCACTAATCATTATCTCAAACTACTATACCAAACAGGCTCTATGTTTTCCGAATACAATAAAAGTGTCGGTACTTTAGAGTGTCAACACCAAGGGCAGTTTTCCCATTCCTTATTATTTCAGTGCATGTCTCCCATCTATTCCAATTGGATTTTCTACATCCTTATAAATACTCATTCAAAGTCAAAATTGAGATGGTTTTTGGGAGGCTTTTAACAACCCATTGTGGAACACTCTTGGAGATAGGGCTGAGCATCGGGTATGAGTATATCTGATATTTGTGGATACCTTACTTGTTTGAATAGGTATTTTACCTGTACTTGTAAAAAAGCAAGTAAGTACCGGATATGAAAAATGTATACCTGCTAAGAATCCGGTAAGTATTGGGTATGAGTGTGAATACTTGTATACCTAACTCATATACCTGACATGTAAATCTGACTCATATAGTTGACTTATATTCTAATTTTATGTATTTAATTTTTCATATGATGTTATGAAATCAAAATGTTTATGTTTTCTTCTTTTCTTCTCGCAATGAAAATTCAATTGAAGGAAAATATGTGGATTTTTATTTATATTTCTTTTATTATTGTATATATACTTGTATATGTGTGAGTATATATACTCATGTATTTTGTTTTATATATAAACTTGTATTATATATATAAACTTGTAGTTGTATATTAATTTATGTATTTTCAATGTAAAATTTAACAAGTATACAAGTATACCTGTGGGTATACCTATACCCAACAAGTTGGGTAATGGGTATAAATTTTCAATACCCAAGAAAATACTGAGTATCAAAATCTTGTATCTATTAATGTTCAAGTCAAGTACAAGTATGGGCCAATACCTGACCCATACCTACCCATGCTCACCCCTACTTGGAGATAAGATAGAGGAATAAGAAAGAAATTTATCATAAATAAAAAAATTAAGGATTTTAATTTTCATGAATTAGATTTTATTTTTAGTTATATTATTTTTATTTGGTAGTTAATATTTTTATATTTATAACTATAATTTTAAGTTTTAATATTTTTATTATAAATTAATTTAATCAACTAAAGTCACGATCTAGCCTAATCAGTTAGATATAGGTTTATATGCTTTTAAGACTATTATTTCATAATGAGTATATATTATTGTTTTTAATACTTTTCAATACTTAATTACCATTAAAATTGATATAAAGAGCATAATTGAGAACAAAAGAATATTTAATAGAATAACTTCTAATAATATAAATCATGAATTGAATAAAAGGTAAAGATAGACCAACATAATTCGTACAATATTAATAATAAGTGAACTTAATTTTTCACATAATATAATACACATTTATCTATATAAATTCATATAAAGATATAGTGAGTTAATAGCTAGATGAATATAAGTTTGGTATAATTTAAAAAGTATATCAAATAAGATAGAAAATCTCACTGTTATATAAGTAATAAATAAGTAATAAATATCTTGAAAATATAATAATATAAAATTTATTTTGATTGATTATGATGAAACTAGATATTTTAATACTTCATATCTTTAACGCTTTAATTTTAAATTGCTCTTTTATTTTAAATAATTTTAATTAAAAAGTCTTTCTTTTTAATTATTCAAATAATTTTAAAATTAATTATTTTTATTTATAATTAATTATAATTTTTATGAAAATAATATTTTATTTATCACTTTATTACTTAAATAACTTCTGCATTTACTAGTGATTTTAGTGTTTTAAGAGTAGAAAATTGTGATCTACCATACTCCTGCGTAGCTTTTGATGGCAAAAGTGGAACAACAAATTTCCAATGAAAAACAAAATTTTGATGCCAGCATTACTTTCTGCTCTGGTTTTTAACTATTTTGATCCATACAAGGCAAAATTTTTAAAGTTAAAATACTAATGTGGTCTCTCAACTTTTAAATTTATATTAAAATTATTTTTTAACTTCAAAAAATATCAAAATAGTCCATAAAACTTAATTTTTTAATATAAAAAAAGTCATTCAGTTAACAAAAGTACCACATAATTTGTTATTCTGTTACAAAATCATTTTTTTAATACTAATAACATGTAAAATTAAATAATCATATTTTTTTATCGTGACATATTTTCATTTACATATTACATTGATATAAAATCAAAGTTAAAAAACCAAATTGGTATTTGTAATTAAAGTTTAAGGATTAAGTTGATACTTGTTTTCAAAGATTAAGAACTAAATTAGTATTATCTTTAAAGTTTGAGGATTATTTTGGTATTAAAATTAAAGTTTAAGAATAATTTTAGTGCTTTTTGAAAAGGTAAAAAATAATTTTAATATAAATTTAAAAATTAAGGGACCAAATTAATATTTTAACTAATTTTCAAATAGGAATAAATAGCATTAAAAGAGACATAACAAATTAACCACTGTATAGATTAAAGTAAAAAGAAAAAATTATAATAACTTGATATTAAAAATATTAAAATATTTAATAATAATTATATGATATATTTGATAAAATTAAATTTTA